AGGCACGTTTACTATGTATAACTGAAATGAGTCACATAATCTGAAATTATAGCTTCTTGAATTTCCTTTAACAACACACTTCACAAGCAAAATGCAACAATCTGTGTCACTTCTTGGGTCGTCCATGAGTCTTGAGGTGAAAAGATGGAATCTGCATCTAAGCAATGTCCCAGATATGTTCCAGGCACTCCCCAGCCCTGGGCCCCTGTACAGCACACGAAAGAATTCTCAGCTGGAGCGAGCTGCTTGGCAGGGGCGGCAGGCCCTGGGGCAGATGGAGGTGGAGATCCCAGCTCCCCAAGAAATGCAAAGCAGATTGGGAAATCGAGAGCTCACTGAGAGAACATTCTACTTTTCCTTCAGTGAGAAAACCTGACTCACCCTCCTCTGGGAACAGAATCAACCTGCTCCCTGTGGATGACGCCCCTGCCTGGGTGGTGCTGAAACCCGGGCCAGGAGCTGAATCTAGCCGCTTGGCCTTGACCCTGAGCCAGTACCACCCTGCTCACTGCCTAGATCTTCCCAGTTTTCACAGAAAGAACTCACGATGCGAGCAGGGAATTGTAGGTGCTTCAGATGTCGTCCTTGGCCTAACCCCACCCTCCAGCCTGCCTTGCTAACAGAATGTCAAGTCTTAATGGGGACTTCCTTCTTCTCTTGTCTAAGAGCACTGTGCAAAACCCCTAGAAGGTTGGATAGCCTCACACCAGGAGGTCTCAGGCCTAAGCATGCATAAATAAAACCTGTGGGGTTTGGTAAATTGCAGATCCTTTCCACCATTCTGATGCATAGATGTGGGGCAGGGCTGAGGAATAATGATTGTAAATATTCTGCCCAGGTGATTCTGATCCAGGGGGTCGACAGATCAGGGTTTCGAGGTTCTAAACTCCTATTAAGGAAAACAGGCCTAAGCTTTGGCAGCCTGACCTGCTGCCCAGGGGAATCTCCCAGGAGAGCTGTCAGCCACAGCACCTGCTGCTGAAGGACTGGTCCCTTGGCCTTCTAAATCAGAAAATCTTTCAGAGTGTACCCGTGGTGGTTTGGCTTTTGAACTTGTCTGCTTGGGGCGTACAGTCCACACAGTTCTGGCTCAACATTTAGAACGTAGCTTTATTTATTTATTTTGTAAATGAACTTGAAAGTAGCTCTTCTTTTAGGGCATTGAAATGAAAGCTTTCTCAGTGGCTTCATCAATGTTTTGGGGTTTGGTCCGAGAGTTAAGGATGAGCTGCAGATGTATGATACTTTGTGACAAGGTTATGTCATGTAAACAGCTCAGTAAGTCATGGCCCTAGCTTTCAAGAAAAGGAGACTTTCAACAAAGGAGACTTTCAACAAAGTGGGCAGGAACTTAAGGGGCATCCTGTGACACCATGGTTTCTTCAGTCAACACCCAATCTTACCTAACCCGTGGCTCCACAGCTCCAAGCACAGTGCCTGGCTTAAGGCAAAGGCTTACTATGTATTTGTTGAATGAAGACATAAATTAATTAACACCATACTTTATAAAACATTGAGAGAGCTGATTTCTAAGTTTCCTTACTTTTCTGAATTTCTAAGTCAGGTATCTTGTGGTTGCCACTCCAGCATCCATTTCCATCTTTCCCATCCCAACATTAATCCAAACTTTCCAGTCATGTGGGTTATATGAGATTGATCCTTCCCTGAGTGCCAGTGGTGGGTCCTGATTGGTTTAGGGCAGTTAGCACATCCCAACTCTCTGACCACAGTGATGGACTCAGCAATGGGCAACTCAGATCAATCAGGGCTGAGATACCATGCTGAGACTTTGTTTGAGGTGTCAGGAAGGTAGACTGTCTCACTACCTGTTACTCTCGAATGACAAAGTGATAGCCCTGGTATTGTTGGGGATCACAAAGAAAGAACATTCTAAGAGTAGAGCCAGACCCAGGAAAGTGGAGCCAAGATAGGATTCTTGGCTCTGGGTTCTGGTAATGTCATCTGAGTTTCTGGAATAAGTCAAGCTTGAAGCCAGTGCCTCTGGACTTTTTGCTTACATCAACCAATGTGATTGAGTAAAGTATTCTGTTACTTGCAGCCCAGAGCATTGCAATTAGCATTACAACTTAGAAACAGCTTCTTATAATGAATCATTAGAAGAAGCCTAATATTCTTTTAGGAATGATGTCAAAATTGGGACTCATGCTTCATAACAAGAATCTTACATTAAATAAATCAAACTTATGGTCAACAAGAGTCAATAAAAGCAAAGAGATAGCTATATACATTTCTAATCATTGCAAATCATAAGTTTTTAAACCAAGTCCTAAACTATGGCAAAAATATACTGCATGTGTAAATATATGAGAGCTTTGATAGTACCAAATAATTTTCAGAGTTAAAAAATGTGTGATAGAAGAATATAGATTCCATAAATGATATGCTAATAAGCTTAACATCAGTATTTAAATTAATCTTCCTAAAAAGGATGATTTGTGAGCACTTCAAAGAGAAGGGCTTAGTGATTCCTGAGGTTCAGAATGGATTTACCAATAGGTTATCTAAAACAAAAAAAAATTCAATATTCTGATAGCTTTGTTGGATTTTCAGGGAATTGCTATAGTTTTAGCATATCTGAATTTTTAAAAGTATCGCATAAAAGTCTGCAATGCCTTCACATTCCTTCTCCTAGTGATTTTTCAAAACCTACATGCAAATTTAACATCTTCTATAAAGTCTTCTCTAATCCCAGGAAGTAGAGGAGTAGAATTTTGTTACTACAATCTATTTGCATTTTAAGTTTATTGTTTTATATCTATCTCCCTTACTAGACTATAAATTGGAGGAAAGTATAAACCACATTTTATTCATTGTTGATTCCTAATACCCCTTGACGCTGACAAAGCATTTGCTCAAAGATTAAATGAATGGATGATATTCTTGGGAACAAGATGGGGTAGCATGAGCTTGATAATAATATTGCGAGGTATATGTAGATTTCCAAGTGGCCCAACACCCAAAATCAAAGCATTCATGAAATAGAGCCTAGATGACTATTAGTTGGATGGAATAAAGAGGAACTTCATATGTGCTATTAGGTTTGTATTAAATGACTTCAACTATCCCTTTTGCAAGTAAAGTTTTATGATTCTAGAGCAAATTAAAACACACACACACACACAACTTGGTTAGATCCAAAAATCAAACTTAAAACCAACACACGAAGGTAAAATTTATATTGTGACATGTCATTAGCAATGCATTTCTAGCTTTCTCAGGACATAGAAGTGCTTATAAGAGATAAATTGGGTGGCACGAGGTCCCTTAGAAAAAGTCAAAATGAATTTGAGCCAATATCACCTTTTCACTTCAGCAAAGTTCTCTGCAGTGGCATTCACTCAACAAATATTTATTAGGTAGTTATTGTATGCAAGGCCGTGTGCACAGCAGTGTGTGAGACACAGTGAGTCGGGAAACACCCAATACCTCTCACTACAGATATTTTGTTGATTTACTGTCAGAGCACTTCACACTCCATTAGGAAACAAACAAACACACAAAAAGCCATCCAATTACTAAGTCATTAGCTCTGCCTTTTAAAATAGAAGATGGGGATGTGGAGCACTAGATTGGAAGGGCCCTTAGAGACCCAGCACGACCCCTTTATTTCACAGATGGAAGAACAGACTCATGCCATGAAGAAGAGGTGCCTCTGTGCGTGCTGACGAGGAAAGATTAAAAACAAGACGTTTGTGCAGTGTAACAAGTTGAAGGACACCCAGTGAAGCTTAAAGACATCTTTACAAAGCAACACAACAACAACAACAAAAATGCCTGAGTACTAAGCATGGGTTTTTAAACAATTGGACAGACATCAGATATTGGGAAAGTATGGAACCTGGAGGCAGCTGGAATGTGGGGTGGGGGCTGGGAAACTTTCACTCTCAGCTTTATGTATTTCCTTAATGTTTGTCTTTTATGTAGCTTTGTACTGCTTTTATAACAAATACGTACATAGAGGTGTGAGTGTGTGTGTGTGTCTCTGTGTATATGTGTGTGTGTATATACATGGATATATAAAGTTTCAAACAGGAGAAGGGTCTTGGAGACTTGCGGGCTGTGGGTCAGGCTTGCATGTGGGTTCCACTGTGAATGCCACCCCACCGCTTTTTGTGAAACCTTCCCCAAGTTACTTAGGCTTCGTGAGCTGTGGTTTCCTTCTATGCGAAGTGGAGACAATAACAGTACCCATCTGTGAGGGCCGTGGTGAGAATTTGAGACTCAGTCACTCAGTGCAGCGGCTGGCACGGGCCAGGTTCTCAACGGGCAGCAACAGTCACGACTGTAATGATGGTTCTTGTTACCGCTGCCTAGCAGGAGAGCCTGAACCCAACCTGCGTCCCCTGGGTGTTGACACAGTGGGTCCCTCCTGCCACAGTCCTTCCCTGTCTCGCTGGAGAACTGCTGAGTCAGGCATATGCTACTAGGGACAGAGGAGGCAGGTCTGAGGCGATGACAACCGCCTGCCGTTGTGAGGGGAGCTGAGTGCTGACCAGACACAATCTCTGTTTCTAAGGAGTCATCGCCCTTAGTGACCAAACGTTGTTCTTTGCTAATCTGTTAATTTTTCAGCAGTTAATGGTCATATGGTATTACAGCCTTAGGATGATCAGCCAAGAACATAAATCACGGGAGTCAACACATTCACCCTTGCTGACCAGCTGTGCAAACCAGTAAAAATAAAGCCAGTAAAACCCAGTAAAAATAAAGCCCCAAACTGAAAGGCAGAGAGTCAAAATGGACACCTCCCTTTCCAAGCATTCCTGAGGAGAATGGCAGGCCGCTGGTTCTTGGAGTGACAAGGCAGGGGAGAGGGATGGCTGAGCTAGTCCTCTCTGACTAACATCTCTCCCTCGTGGAAAAAGAAAGATTTCGGTTAGCGGTGCTGTGACATGGCACCACTACACCAAGGGCAAGAGTTGTTCCAAAAGGAGGGTCTGCTGGGGACTTCTGAGGAGATTTTCGTTTCAGGTACTCACAGTACGATTTCCATATCGGAGGCTGGTATTCTTCAGCATCTAGAATAAAAAAGAAAGAGATCGGCCTGTCAGCCTGAATGTCAAACTGTCAACAAGGGTCTTCTCTGGGGGAGCAACACTCTGTCAGCAGCACTGGCATTCCGGCCCCGGGCGCTCTCTGCTCGTTTGGGAGGCATTTCTCGGCATGAGGGAGGGGACGTTCATGGAAACCTTGTGGACCCAGCGCCACTGCCTTCAGATCGCTCACTGTGACAGAAGCAATTGCTTAACACTTTTCATAGCGCCCAGTAAATCAAAAAAGATTTTTAAAGCAATTAACTTGATTGTACCCTCTAGAAATCCTTTCAAGCAGTATTTATTTAACTTGGCATAAAAAAACATATAATTTATCTCACAATTTCCAATCAGACCTTTAGCCCATTTATTAAGACTTGAGGGCAGGACGCGCATTGGCAAGTACATAATATTAAATCTGTAGAGTTGCTCAACTCAGCCAACTGAACTCCTAAAGTACTCGGTCTGACAGCAGAGACACTGACGATTCAATTGGAATCGCATTATCTCCTGGAATTAACTCCAGCGTGTGACTTAAAAAATTTCCAGAAACCTCTCAGCAATCAGAAGTGTCAGAGTGAAAAGAGTTACAGCAAAATGGAGAGGATGAAATTGTTATTCATCAATCCAGGAAACAGACAATAGGAGAAAATCTGCGTGTTCAGTTGACTCAACCTTCCTACTGCCAACAGCTGAATTTATAATTCTGATATAGCCATTGGAGTCCTCCTGAGCTCATAGCTATAAGGCCTTGGGAAAATATGCTCCAGCTTAATTAGCCGGGGGGGAAATCCTTTTCCCCAAAACACAGAAGGTTGATCTGGGGGACAGATGGTTGTGGGGAAACCTGAAAGTTCTCTAGTTTAGCCCCTTTAGATAAGGAAACTCTTTATTTTTCTCATTCTACACCCCCAGAGCAACACACAGTCTGTCCTTAGACTGCCCTTGTCTTGATGTTCCAGTTCTGTTATTCTTTTCTGACCTCATACCGTAAGATAGTTTGAGAGCATTTTCCACCAAGAAACAAATATACTATTTATAAATAAAAACTAAAATCAAGAGTGGTAAACTTTCCCAAATCCTACTCAATTACACTGTATAGCATAAATGAAATTATTTCACAATTATCTTGTTCTCTCGGGCCCTCTGTATCACAGCATTGAACTAAACACCTTCCAAAGGTCATTTCATACAAATGAATCTGTGTTGTTAGGCCTGAATTGTCAGGAACCTACAAGGAATCATCAGGCATACAGGCACACACACAAACGCAACGTATTAGTCATGGCTTATGTTGTTATTCAAACACAGCTTGCTGAATAAATGTGATCATTAACTCAATATTTTTGTCAAAGTAAGAGAAAAAATATCTTAGAATAGTGAGCTTTTAACCTAAACAAGCAATTAATTTCATCCTATATATGTGATATAAACCGATTTTAATGGGTTAGTATGACTGTTTGTTTATAAAGAACAGTCAAAGAGAATAAATCAAGTTGCAGAGTTCACAATAGAATTCTAGAAGCAGCCATACAGTGCCACTTCATCAGAAAATCCAGGCCCATTACGTTAAAATGTTGACATCTTCAAAAATACTTTTTCAAAGATAAAGATTGACACACACACACCCCCACTCACAGAGTATAGATTGCATAGAAACATGAATCCCTGAGAAGCCACCTACCCAAAGCTATAATGTCTTGTTATTTTGGATGAGATTGATTCTTTGATGCAAGCACAGCCCATAGACCGAGAAGTGGTGAAGAGTGTTTGGAACCTAGAGCACTGCTTTCTATCTATGCAGGGAAGGCCCTGAGACAGAGGAGTTAGTCTCCTTTATGCAGGTCTTTAAACACAGCCCAGATGCTCAACTTGGATCTGCTAAGGTCTTCTTACCTAAAGTTAGACATCTAGATTAGATGACTTTTCACTGTCCGTTTCAGTCTTGTTCTACGAAAAACCTAGAACTTTGTTTCATCTTAAATACTGGCCCTTAACTTAACCTTGATTTAGGCTGGCTTGCAGGCTACATAAATAATTTATCCCTCTCCAGTCACTTCTTGGTGACAACATAACACAGAGGTAAAGAAAGCTGACTACAGAGATGGGAGATCATACCACTCCTGTGCATAAAATTCCCCAATGTCTCCCCTCTGCATGTGGAATAAGATCTGAGCCTCCTGCTGTTGCCTATAGCCCTGCATCATGGGGAGCCTGCCTGCCTCTCTGATACTACTGCACACATCTTGCCTTTTTTCACTTATCATCCAACCACACTGGTTTTCTCTCTGTTTCTAGAACAGGCCAGGCTCTTTTGAATCCCTCCACCTTTGCTCTTATGGACTCTCCATGGAAAATGCTCTCCAACAGGTCTTGGCCTGGCTCACCTGCTCCAGCATGTAGGGCTCACCTCAACGTCACCTCCCGGTGTCACCTCCCAGGGGCCTTCCCTGCCAGCCTTATATAAAGTAGCCTTCTCCCTACTCCAGTCACTTTCCTAACAGAGATCTTAGTTTTCTTCATAGCACTTATTACCACCTGAAATTATTATAGACATGTTGCTTTGTTTTGACTGACCTCGTCCACGAGTAGCCAAACTTCGTAAAAGCAGGAATTTTGCCTCATTCACTTCGGCATCACTAGGCCTTAGAAGAGTGCCTGACATATATTACCAACAGTCATTCAAACAAAACAAAACAAAAATTTGTGTTATATAAATGAATGAACTCTCAGGGTTCAATCCCTACCCCCACCAACTATTGGCAGAATAACTCAGAGTAGATTATCTAGCTTCTATTAAGAGCCTCCCAATACTCATCTTTGTAAAACAGAAAAATAAAAGTATCTACCTCATAACCTGTCTCTTAGGGGCCCTGTGGGAATTAAACGAGATAGTGGGTGTACACAAAGTTCTCAGGACAATGCCCAGCAAACAGCAAGTTGTTCTCAATGCGGCTCCACTGATGTAGTTGTCTTATTGTTATTGGTACATCACCCTGTCCTCATTCTTCCCAGGTGGGCCCTTGCTCTTGTCTTCTCTCTCAACTGCAGCCAGTGACTGTCTCGATTCTTGTCCCCAAATCTGCAGCCTGTAATTAAGTTCCAGTGCTGTTGTCATGGAAGTTTTTTCTTTCCCATAAAAGAATTCAAAGTGAGAGGCCATTTGTCATGCTTCAGTGGAACAACTATAATTACCTTGGCCTTAGAAGATATGTTTTACAAACCACTAAAGCACACTGTTAGGAGGCCTTGGTAAAGTGACAAAGCACAAAATATTTTAAATATATTGAAATAAATCTTTGGTTGCCCCCAACCCCACGCCACCAACACATATACTATTTGCCCCAATGTCATACAATGCTTTCCAAAGATCACCTTTACTCTTGGATAACCTGACACTTTTTAAAACATCCTAGAATAGGTTTTCAAGGTCACTTAGTTCACATTCATCATTTGGCAAATAAGGAAAATGAAATGCAGAATGATTAAGTGGCTTCCTCAAGGTCATAAAACAAATTAGAGGCAGAGGTGGGAGGTTCGACTTCCTGGTCTCTAACACATCATTCATTCTTGCCAGGCAGTCCCCCTGAATTTGCATATATTGAAATCAAGAAAATAAAATTATCATATATTAGATTTATTATTTCAATTCTTGTGAAGCTTAAAAGAAAAAAAATAAAATAGAGAAAAGAAAAAAATATTAGTAGTATGAAAATGTGCCAATAAGTCAAATGGCAGGGTAGTATTCCATCTCTGCACATACCCCAGCTTATAGTTAAAGTTTGGGGGATGCAGGGTGCTAGACACACTGACAACATAAAGCATAATGCTACTTGAAGATGTACTATTTTGTTAAACATTTTAGAGAAATGGGTATAATGCAGAAGGAAGGTAGAGGAAGTAGAACAAGAAGCTCCATATTTTTAAAATCTATCATTGAACCCAGAAGACAGTTACACAGTTGTAGGAAGGGATGATGAATTATAATGCTCAGAGAGGCTTGGAAAACATATTGCTTAAAAACTTCGACTAATATGTACCTAACCTTTAAAAATGTGTCAACCCTTTGGCTCAGCAATTCTATTCATGGTAATCTAGCCTACGGTAGTAATTGAATACCTGTACAAAGACATTTATATGATCAAGGAATTCATTGCTGTTCTGTGTATAATAGTGAACCTAAAAGCACAGGAAGAAGGGAATAGTGGAATAATTATCTTATACTCAGCCATGAAAATGATAGTTTGAATTATGGCTATGTGGTCAAGAGCACAGCCTCTGGAGCTAGATTGTGCAAAATCTAGTTCTGCCACTTACTAGCTGTGGCAAATTACCTAACCTGTCTGCGCCTCAGTTTCTTAATCTATAAAATGAGAATAATAATACTTCCCAACATATAGCATTTTTGCAGGCACTGCATAGGTTAATTTGCATAATGCTTAGTCTGCAAAGAGAAAAATAACAACTATCGTTCATTTCATTACAGCCATGTACAAGAGAAAGCTAAAAGTGTAAAGATTAACAGAATGAGAAAGAGACAGAGATAGATAGATAGATAGAGAGAGAGAGAGAGAGAGACTACTCCAAATAAAGGGTGCAATAAAAAAGTAAATGAAGATGGACACAAAATAAATTGTGAGAAAAAAATAAAATGAAATGCTTAGTCAGGTGCCTGGCATATAATAGACTCTATGCTTGCTGTTATCATTTACTTTAATGCCAGGAAAATATTCAAACCATGTTGTTAAGTATTAAACAAATCAGTCTGTAAAATAATTTATTAAATATAATCTCATTTTAAAGAAATGGTAAATATTAATGTATGTAGAAATTATCTAGAAGGCTATAAACCCAATTATTGAAAGTTGCTCTACGTGATAGTGAAAATATAGGTGATTTCTAATTTTTCTTCTTTTGCTTAGTTGCATTTTATAATTTTCTATATATATTGCTTGCATAAAAATTAAAAAGAATAAGAAATTTAT